TGGTCTATGTTGTCCTGCCTGATAGATAAACATAGATAAACACTGTCTAGTCTATGTTGTCCCGATAGATAAACACTGTCTAGTCTATGTTGTCCTGATAGATAAACACTGTCTAGTCTAAGTTGTCCTGATAGATAAACACTGTCTAGTCTATGTTGTCCTGATAGATAAACACTGTCTAGTCTATGTTGTCCTGATAGATAAACACTGTCTATGTTCTAAACACTGTCTAGTCTTGTTGTCCTGATAGATAAACACTGTCTAGTCTATGTTGTCCTGATAGATAAACACTGTCTAGTCTATGTTGTCCTGATAGATAAACACTGTCTAGTCTATGTTGTCCTGATAGATAAACACTGTCTAGTCTATGTTGGCCCGATAGATAAACACTGTCTAGTCTATATTGTCCTGATAGATAAACACTGTCTAGTCTATATTGTCCCGATAGAGAAACACTGTCTAGTCTATGCTGTCCTGATAGATAAACACTGTCTAGTCTATGTTGTCCTGATAAACACTGTCTAGTCTATGTTGTCCTGATAGATAAACACTGTCTAGTCTAAGTTGTCCTGATAGATAAACGGTGTCTAGAGTATGTTGTCCTGATAGATAAACACTGTCTAGTCTATGTTGTCCTGATAGATAAACACTGTCTAGTCTAAGTTGTCCTGATAGATAAACGGTGTCTAGAGTATGTTGTCCCGATAGATAAACACTGTCTAGTCTATGTTGGCCTGATAGAGAAACACTGTCTAGTCTAAGTTGTCCTGATAGATAAACACTGTCTAGTCTATGTTGTCCTGATAGATAAACACTGTCTAGTCTATGTTGTCCTGATAGATAAACACTGTCTAGTCTATGTTGTCCTGATAGATAAACACTGTCTAGTCTATGTTGTCCTGATAGATAAACACTGTCTAGTCTATGTTGTCCTGATAGATAAACACTGTCTAGTCTATGTTGTCCTGATAGATAAACACTGTCTAGTCTATGTTGTCCTGATAGATAAACACTGTCTAGTCTATGTTGTCCTGATAGATAAACACTGTCTAGTCTATGTTGTCCTGATAGATAAACACTGTCTAGTCTATGTTGGCCCGATAGATAAACACTGTCTAGTCTATGTTGTCCTGATAGATAAACACTGTCTAGTCTATGTTGGCCTGATAAACACTGTCTAGTCTATGTTGTCCTGATAGATAAACACTGTCTAGTCTATGTTGGCCCGATAGATAAACACTGTCTAGTCTATGTTGTCCCGATAGATAAACACTGTCTAGTCTATGTTGTCCTGATAGATAAACACTGTCTAGTCTATGTTGTCCTGATAGATAAACACTGTCTAGTCTATGTTGTCCTGATAGAGAAACACTGTCTAGTCTATGCTGTCCTGATAGATAAACACTGTCTAGTGTGTGTTGGCCTGATAAACACTGTCTAGTCTATGTTGTCCTGATAGATAAACACTGTCTAGTCTATGTTGTCCTGATAGATAAACACTGTCTAGTCTATGTTGGCCCGATAGATAAACACTGTCTAGTCTATGTTGGCCTGATAGATTAACACTGTCTAGTCTATGTTGTCCTGATAAACACTTTCTAATCTATGTTGGCCCGATAGATAAACACAGTCTAGTCTATGTTGGCCTGATAGATAAACACTGTCTAGTCTATGTTGTCCTGATAGATAAACACTGTCTAGTCTAAGTTGTCCCGATAGATAAACACTGTCTAGTCTATGTTGTCCTGATAGATAAACACTGTCTAGTCTATGTTGTCCTGATAGATAAACACTGTCTAGTCTATGTTGTCCTGATAGATAAACACTGTCTAGTCTATGTTGGCCTGATAGATAAACACTGTCTAGTCTAAGTTGTCCTGATAGATAAACACTGTCTAGTCTATGTTGTCCTGATAGATAAACACTGTCTAGTCTATGTTGTCCTAGTCTATGTTGGCCTGATAGATAAACACTGTCTAGTCTATGTTGTCCTGATAGATAAACACTGTCTAGTCTATGTTGTCCTGATAGATAAACACTGTCTAGTCTATGTTGTCCTGATAGATAAACACTGTCTAGTCTATGTTGTCCTGATAGATAAACACTGTCTAGTCTATGTTGGCCTGATAGATAAACACTGTCTAGTCTATGTTGTCCTGATAGATAAACACTGTCTAGTCTATGTTGGCCTGATAAACACTGTCTAGTCTATGTTGTCCTGATAGATAAACACTGTCTAGTCTATGTTGTCCTGATAGATAAACACTGTCTAGTCTATGTTGGCCCGATAGATAAACACTGTCTAGTCTATGTTGTCCTGATAGATAAACACTGTCTAGTCTATGTTGGCCTGATAGATAAACACTGTCTAGTCTATGTTGTCCTGATAGATAAACACTGTCTAGTCTATGTTGGCCTGATAGATAAACACTGTCTAGTCTATGTTGTCCTGATAGATAAACACTGTCTAGTCTATGTTGTCCTGATAGATAAACACTGTCTAGTCTATGTTGTCCTGATAGATAAACACTGTCTAGTCTTTGTTGTCCTGATAGATAAACACTGTCTAGTCTATGTTGGCCTGATAAACACTGTCTAGTCTATGTTGTCCTGATAGATAAACACTGTCTAGTCTATGTTGTCCTGATAGATAAACACTGTCTAGTCTATGTTGTCCTGATAGATAAACACTGTCTAGTCTATGTTGTCCTGATAGATAAACACTGTCTAGTCTAAGTTGTCCTGATAGATAAACACTGATAAACACTGAGTTCTAGTCTAAACACTGTCTATGTTGATAAACACTGATAGATAAACACTGTCTAGTCTATGTTGTCCTGATAGATAAACACTGTCTAGTCTATGTTGTCCTGATAGATAAACACTGTCTAGTCTAAGTTGTCCTGATAGATAAACACAGTCTAGTCTATGTTGGCCTGATAGATAAACACTGTCTAGTCTATGTTGTCCTGATAGATAAACACTGTCTAGTCTATGTTGTCCTGATAGATAAACACTGTCTAGTCTATGTTGTCCTGATAGATAAACACTGTCTAGTCTATGTTGTCCTGATAGATAAACACTGTCTAGTCTATGTTGTCCTGATAGATAAACACTGTCTAGTCTATGTTGTCCCGATAGATAAACACTGTCTAGTCTATGTTGTCCCGATAGATAAACACTGTCTATTCTATGTTGGCCTGATAGATAAACACTGTCTAGTCTATGTTGTCCTGATAGATAAACACTGTCTAGTCTATGTTGTCCTGATAGATAAACACTGTCTAGTCTATGTTGTCCTGATAGATAAACACTGTCTAGTCTATGTTGTCCCGATAGATAAACACTGTCTAGTCTATGTTGTCCTGATAGATAAACACTGTCTAGTCTATGTTGACCTGATAGATAAACACTGTCTAGTCTATGTTGTCCTGATAGATAAACACTGTCTAGTCTAAGTTGTCCCGATAGATAAACACTGTCTAGTCTATGTTGTCCTGATAGATAAACACTGTCTAGTCTATGTTGTCCTGATAAACACTGTCTAGTCTATGTTGACCTGATAGATAAACACTGTCTAGTCTATGTTGGCCTGATAGATAAACACTGTCTAGTCTATGTTGTCCCGATAGATAAACACTGTCTAGTCTATGTTGTCCCGATAGATAAACACTGTCTAGTTAGTGATCTATTGTAGACACAGATACGCCGTGTAGTTTATGTTGGTCGGATAGAAAGACCATATTCATTATATTAGCCATTTTCAATGATATTAATTTGCTGTTTCGATGCAGAAAGATCCCTGGTAGAGTTAGTTTCAGTATATTTTATTCTCAGTAACAAGGGGGTCAGGCACAAGTTATTACATCTTGTGAAACGCCCTCTCCCGACATATTATAAAATAAATAGAACATATAATGAGCCTGGGCTGTAACAAATAGCTACACACCAAAATATTGGTGCACGTGCTTGAAAATACTTTAATGTATCTTGTAGACTAAGTATAACTGCCTTATCAATTAAACACCGAGATAATTACTAATCTGCACGGTATTTTTCAAACATTATTTTCCAGCTACATGGTATGTTAACTTATTTAACAAACAAATGTACAGTGTGACTATATCATGTAGTCATTCTAATTCGTAATTTTATGCACTTTCACATTCCTTATTGTATGCTATTTAATTCATTAACGTAATAATTGTAATTATAATATTTTGTGAAGTTTTTACATTGAAATTCTCACGTTTTGTGGTATTCTGTCACACTACTGTAGTGTAATGTGTTTTAACAGGAAATGTATTTAATCTGACAAAGACACCTTTATATGATGGCTATTCTTATTGGGGAAGGGTTTCCTTGTATGATGTTAATTAATGTGATATTCACTTGTGTGTCTTTTGTATAATCCTTAAGGTTTTATTCCGCTTCATATCATTGGCTTTGACTTTAAAGTGACATCACGGTAAAAACATTAATTTTGTTATTAATTGTACGTGTTTTATATATATATAGACATATATATATCTCCATCCAGTTTCTCATCTATCCAGATATTTATTCAAAGTCAATTTCCAATGTCCAGCTTGACCACTTCTTTGGCTCTAGAAACACCTCTAAAATTTAGCCCTGTATAACGTCACGCCATGATTTTGAAATCGAGGCGTTTCATTTGGTACCCTCGAACACAATATGACAGCGACAGTAGTGACACAGTTAAATCCCATTTTGTACCCTCGAACACAATATGACAGCGACAGTAGTGACACAGTTAAATCCCATTTTGTACCCTCGAACACAATATGACAGCGACAGTAGTGACACAGTTAAATCCCATTTTCGTTTTACATTTCTACACCTTTATAAACGACGGATCACGTCATCGTATCAGCATGTACTATAGCCCTTGATAATACACGGTAGAATTTCTATTTTAGTTATATTTGGTGATGCAGGCATTACCTTTTTTTTTTTATAATTTTGGTCAATAATTTAAATTACGAATACGAATTTAGTTTTAATTCCTTAATGCTAAAACTGGAGCGTAATAATGTTGTGTATGTATGAATTGAGTGAACGAAACTTTACAAACATAATACTATGAGACACATAATCCTCGTAAAGTCAGTGAAATTAAGTCATCACACATTTAACACTACATTAGTGAGAGCTATATCATTGTTTGTAGCTATCAGTAAGTCACCATTGACTTGATGGGCACTACTCTGGACTTGTCGTACAGAAAATCTAAGCTTTCGCAAGAAATTTTCATCGTCCAAACTTAGCGACACATGCAATTTGAGATAATGACGGAGTTCCTCATCTCGAACCGAGTCTGCTTTCACACTATGCGTTAACACGACAATAAGATGGTTATATTTCTCTCTAAGGGACCTCTGCGCAGCCGCACGAAAAGTAAACAAGGACCACTCGTCCACAAATGTGTTTCCTGACACAATAAAGAGCGTGTGTTGTGAGTTAGTCACAGCTTGTAGTATGTTTTCTTCCTTTGCTGCGCCGAGGGTGAAGTCTTTATCGGGTAAACACAATGAATATCCACAATTCTGTAGCTGTGGGCACAATGAGGTGATAATGAAAGTTAAAATATCTTCAGAGTAACTCAGAAATATTGAAATATTGCTACTGTTTATACATTCTAGGTTTTTGTTTCTTTTCTCAAGCAACCTTTGTAACATCGGCCGTGAAGGAGTCTCTCCATATGTCTTGCTTAAAGGCATATAATAATACAACTTATTTTTCATAAACCGTTCGTTAATACTGAGGTAGCGTGTGTGTTTCATTACTCGAATCATCTCGGGATCTGGCAGATCAGCAGCCAGCACATCGTCCGTTACAAACTGTATAAACCCTGTACCACTATCAGGTATTTCCTTTTTAATCTCTGTCCATGCCATTTGAAGTTTGTTGTCGTCCAGAAAGTCTTTTGATAGGACGATCAGAACCTTGCGTGCGTGTTCCACAAGACTAGCAATGTTATCTTGGAAGGAAAATCCGGCCACACAATCAGCACAAATAGAAAAAATGTGAAAATTGGGTAGGTTTTTTCTCGCTGCCAGTGGTGATACATTATCTGTCACCCATGCTTGAGTTTGAGGCGAATGAATAACGACCAGATCAATAGGTTTGTTTACTTGTCTATTTTCCCTATCAAACGGACGGACACCAAGATAAATGTAGAGGAATACTTTCACTTCCAGTCTATAAATACAGACAAGAGCGACGACGAGAAGAATGAGGCTAACAGAGACACATGATGCAGTGGCTGGAATGATCACGTGTTTTCTGACGTCAAAGTCATGTTTACACACAAACTCGCTGGTGGGAACTTTGAGTATTGGTCTTGCTGTGCCCAATTGTGTGTTACAAGACACTGCTGTGAAGTCCAATACAACGTCTTTATTACGCTCGACCCACGTTCTCATCCACAGAGAGTGGCAATCACACAGGAATGGATTGTCAGTGATGGAAAGTTCGGCCAGCTGGAGATATTGTATCTGCTTTGGTAGACCGATCAGATTGTTGGAGGACAAATGTAAGTTTTCAACGTTATTTAACCGTAATACTGCGTTTCCTTCAATACGGCTGATCTGGTTTGAATTTAGTGACAATGTTCGAACACGTGGGAAGTAGTGTCTTTTCTCGATCTTCGTTATGTTATTTCTCTGAAACCAGAGATCCAGAACACCCCCTGGAAGACGCAGAGGCAGGGACATCATGCCCGTGTCTCTACAGTCAACAATGATGATATGTGACACACTCCACTGATGACAGAGACAGTTCACTGGACACGACGAAACATTCACCCTACAATATGTTTCTTCCTTCTTGACCATAAGTAACTTCCGTCCATCTAATGCCTTTGGAGAGACACATGTCCACTCACGGAAGAAATAGTCGTTCCTGGTTATTGTAGCATTATGTGTGTATTGCTGAATTACGTTGATGAGTGGGATGATACCACAATCACATCTGAGTGGATTGTTGTTTAGATTGAAATGAAAATGTATGAGAAGAATGATAAGTTTAAGCTTACAACTCTCACTAATATTGCCAGACAGATCGATACTTTCAATCGAATTTTCCGATAGATCGATTTCCCGTAACTGACTTGGACGTTCGAATATATCTACCGTAGAATCACTTGCAGATTCGACTACGCTCTCCAACAGTAAAGTAGAGTCTATCTCATTGATCAGACCAGAGGAATTCGCCAGTGTGATAGATGTGTTTTTCAGATCTATAAGTCGCAGACTTCGGATGTAAAAAGCAATATTTGGAATTTGACGAAGTGGATTGCTACTGAGACCTATATGGCTTAATGATATCGAGTGAAGCGGGAAAGATGCTTCGTTAATAACAGCAATGTTATTTCTGTCTAAAAGCAGCGTTTCTAAACTGAGGAGTTTTAAGAATAATCCTTTACCGAGAGAGGATATTCTATTTGAAGCCAAGTTGATGTAGATTAGATTGGAAGAGTCATCAAATATCCCGTCCGGTAACTTCTCGATGAAATTGTTACTGATATCCAAATGACGAAGCGACGTGAGGCCACGGAAAAGTCCTCCCGGAAGTGACGTAAGTAGGTTGTTAGCTAAACTAACATGTTGAAGATCTGTGACATTACGAAAGCATTCTTCACCTACCTCCAAAAGGCTGTTATTGTTTACAGAAATCATATGGAGAGTGCCGTGAAACTTGTATTCACTTAACGTTTCAATATTGTTGTTATCCAAATTATAAAATCGTCGGTAAACATTTGGTTGGATATCAATATGTAGTGATAAACTATACTGACTTTGAAAATAACGTGACCGAGACAGATTTCGTGGGAGACGAGAAATTGCGTTATTCCAGGGAAACAAGTCAGGAGGTTTTGTAAAATTATTGTTCTGTATATCTAATGATTCAAGAAAAGGAAAAATCTGTTTCATACCAGACGGTAACTCTCTCCAATCCAGGTGAAGGAAGGAAACCTCTTTCATTTCCGGGAAGGTGTGGTCACCTTCCAAGAATTCTGAAATATCACCATTATTGTTGTCGGATTTCTTATCAATTGACAAAGCGACAGCATTTCCTAGAAGTCCTCGTTTGGTTGACGCCGATGTATCAGTGATATTATATATCGGAACTCCGGCAAAAGTCACCACACGCATATCAAATGCATCGGAAAATTGGTGGAGACTTTTCATATCAAATAAACACCCCTGAACTTGGAAATATCCGATCACGTTGTAAAACGCGTCCTGTAATGCGTGGATGTTTGTAAGTACAATATGGAGAGGTCCTTTACATGCAAAAACAAACATGGCTGTTACGATCTGTTCGGACGGGAAATCATAAAAGTTAATCAATCGTGTTGTATTGATTGTACATTCGTTAGTGTCTTTGTCATTGGTGAAGATAAAAAATTTGGCGGTTGTTGGAACGTCGCGTCCGTGGTACTTGTACAAACTTGGGAACTGTGCATGATCCCGTTTCACGTAACGACAAGCCGTTGTACTCTGTGGAGACGTCTGACCAAAGCAATGGATCGGCAGTGCAATGATTATACTTAAGACTATTAACATCAGTATGTCATATTTCTGGATAGTTCCCATGTTTAATCGGCGGTCAACTTGCAGCATAAGCGGTCAGTAAGCTATTTATTCGTTATGTCCTCGTGATCCATCGAGCCGTGACAGATTAAGGTAACTTCTCGATTCGGAGGTCTTTTCTTCAGGCTGCAAATAAAAACAAACACGTTACATTCTAGCTGTATCAAGACTGAATCTGTTATTTGAGATAAGAGATAGCTCTATATTTATCATGTAAATTACGTTCAGATTTATTCATAGATTCCAGAAATAGATAACCATTGCAGTGTTTGATGATTTGAAATACATCACACCACAGATGAACCTTCTATTCTGACTTTAAGCTTAGTTTTATAGTTGTCACTAAAATCTCGGTGTATATCCACACACACCCCACCCCCCTAAATGGCTTTCACATAGAAATATAACGGTCCATAACATATCGTATTTACATGAAGCCATGTGTCCTTGTTGACAGCAAATAATAAACAACGTAATCGAATGAAAAATAAATAAGCCGGCTGAAAACACGACATAAGAAAAAACATTTGGCCGTCATATAGATTTTATTGGACGAACTGCAACCCGGTAGAACCCGGAGCAATGTCGGGGTTTTTTAACTCTGTACTAACACAATTACATGAAGACCTGACTGTGCGGAGTACGAGTCGACTAAAATATACAACTAAATGACCTGCTTGATTTATAACCCTATGCGTCCTTGCAACAAATATTACGTCATTAGAGAAGTGGTTTTGTAAGTTGTAAGTTGTTGTGGTCAAAATGAAAGATTATCACAGTATTGTCCCTGATAGTATATTTTTTCGTGTGATACAGCTATTGTTTACCTGGTCAATCAGTGCCCGAGGTTTTTACACAAATTTTTCCAGTCTGGGCTGATAACTAGTTCTCGGCCCGAGTCGATACTACGTCATGGGGATTAAATATGACGTTATCAACATGTGTGGAAAAAAATTATGTTACAACACATTTGATTAAGCAGACTTAATTAGCACTTGGGCCTTCGGCTCTTGGGCTGATAGCAGTTCCTCTGTCACATATAAGGTATGATCTCAAATTAATGTTATATGTATATCAACGTCTAATTAATTGTCAACGGATTTAAAGATCCGTACGTGATGCACACACCCAAACCACAGTGATGTATTACAATTGAGGAAACTTATATAGCATGCAATTTTATATTTATTACTGATATAATACTGATGGTGTATCATATTTCAGTTAAATTATCTATTTTGTAATTACATTGGGACATTTAAGTGCACTTGTATGTTAAGAGATTACGTAAGAGGTTTTAACTATACAATAAATCTGTGTCCGACACACTCCTTTACTTCAGCGTTCTTGTGGTTAGTTATTGTCCTTAGAAAAGATCTTGCGTATTTTTTTTAATCGTCGTCAAAATTTGATCAAGTCTCACCACATCGATACTACAGGGACTTGGCACAAATTTCGAACCCACTGTCCATATAATTACCGAGAAAGGAAGACTGGTTATATCATTGTGAATTAGGTACTTTAAGTGTCATATATCGTAGTTAAACATACATTGACTTTAAGAGAAATGTTTTGTCTTTGAGCGTTTGATGGACGAGATTGGCCTAGTATTGACCACGTGATGGCCTGATGATTTCAGAAATACATGGTAACTGTCATAGATTTATATCAATACTGTGGAGATATCACTTTGAATTGTCCAACGCTTAATATGAAGAGCTCTGTATTCTATGAAGAAGTGAAACGCGATCCCATATTTCTCTCTCTCGGTCCACTAATCATTCCATTGGTTGTACCCCCCAACCCCCCCCCCCCCCCCCCCCCCCCCCCCCCCCCCCCCACAATCCACAAGTATGTATGCTCTCCATTTCGTGTACTTTATTGTAAGATTGTAATCGATTCTAATGGGTCTGTGCTGGGCGTACCTAGGACAGGTAAACACAGGTAAACCGTTGTCGTGTTCTGCAATGTGTTGCTATGTCTATTATCCGTGGTAGATCTAGACCAGGGGTGTCTGCGCATTCGGGAACCCTCACATTGTATATAATTTCGCTATATTTAGTGTTGTCTATAGGCGAGCTCTAAATTGTCAGTAACATCATTCTAAATAATCAGTATAAAAGGACACGTTGAAACAGATCATCAGGGAATATTGTAGGAAAATCGTATATCTTCTGAATATGGTCTTTAGATAAGTCATTCTAAAGGGACACATCAGAATTATATTATCAGGGAATATGATAAACAAAAGACACAGCATCATCTGAATAAGGCCTTTAAGTCAACAGGACATGTTCCTCAGCAATACATAAAAAAATTTATTAATACCGTTTAAAACTGTGATAATTTATTATGAATTAACACTTTAAATTAAGATATTATATATTATATCTGTAATGTAATTTAAAAAAATAGATATTTACCTTTCTGTAGGTATATTGTAGTTATACTGTAGGTATAAACACTCTCGATACGCACAGCACTTGTTTGTAACTCCCCGGAAGTTCAGTACCAGGTAATTACCCAAAAGTGGGATTTCCGAATTTTTTTGGTGACCGATCAACCATGTCTAAATCAGCGCGATGTGTTCACATGATAAACAACCTTATTCTGTATACTATTGTGAATTGTCATAAACATTAATGTCCGACACACATATGCTGCAAGTCTGCGTATTTCTTCCTCTACCACTGGACACAAAGTGTTTTAAAAAGAAACAATTTTACTTTAGCTGCAAACTCGAATGAGATCAAATAACTATACACGGATGAGTAAGAGAATCGTTAGTGTGTGTATTATAAAGGGATGGGACATGGCGACAGAGGCAGGAGTGACAGCCCCGATATATACCACGTCTAACGGTCAAGTGGTCCTACGGTAGCTGTGTATCAAAAGCGTCCCTGTAAATACCATAACGAACTTTCAGAATATCTTATATTTTTATTATCTTATTATTATTAATTTGTGGGAGTAAATAACCAGCTCCCCCTCCCCCCGGGTAACACGTGGGTGTAATTTTCTTCCTGTGCGAGTTGTTATCGCGTCAGTGTGTAAGCTGGTTTAACTCACTAAGGGATGATTTTGTAAACAATTGTCTGACACTCACTTCGCGGTCGTATCGGCTTTAATTACTGCTGAAATTTTGAAATAGTAGAAGTGGGGTAGCAAGTCAGCATTAATAAAAATTATGATAATTCGTTCTGTTTATTATTGTAACTCCACTGTGCCCCCGCTCGCGCTTTGTTCCTGAAGAAAAAGCCAAGTCCAAATTCCTTTCTACTTGTTGTTTATATATAGCACAGTGAAGTCCACAAGAAGGCTCGCTCCCTATCACGCTTCCGTAGAGTCAGTCCCACAACCGGAAGTTGTCCCTTTGGCATCCCTAGATCCAAGTGCCATGAGCAGTGAAAACTGCAGAGTATTTATAGGGGAAGCCAAAAGTCGGACAACTCCGCAGGTTGAAATTCCTCAAGAACAATGGTTGATCCTGGCGACCCAACCATATCAAAATTCTGTCAAAATGATACCAATTTGGACACAAAATGCAGAATCTTGGCACCATTTGTTATTGTGTATGGGATAAGTGCTGATGGATTGGGGATGCACATTTAGTGCAACGACCGTTGATTGGTCCATTCCCCAATCCCAGGAAGCTATTGTCTGGAATGACAATTGGTACTACCAGTCTTCAGACGCATATTGGTCACTATTTACATATATAATAATCAAATACTTAACAATTACGCAGAACCTAACATCTGCTAAATCGGTCATGTTTATCTTACATACTCATAATGCTGTACTAAGCAACTATATACAATTCACTATCTAAACTATTATTTTCTCATGACCTTGAAATATTTTACGTAATATTTATACAATCATCGTTACTCTAACTGTACTGCACTGTTTATATATACACATCACATTTGTTTATATGAATTCTGGCTACCATTGTTTACATAAGTTCCTACTTGCCTATGCAGTGCTGGACATGTAAAGGTCATATTTGGTGCAATATACTATGTACATATTTAACACTCAATTCCTGTTATAAGCTAAATTAAACAACAATAAATTCATGAACATTATTATTTTCATATTTTAAATTTCCAACCAACATTATATACAATAAAATACTGCTTCCTGTTCATATAACCATTTCCGGTTTAACAACAGTGATCTACTTGATAGTGTCACATTATTGCGATCGCTCTCATTTCTTAAGTATTTTATAAACCATCAGGGTTTAACGACCTTTTAGCGTAGCAGTCTTGACTGAAAAAAACATAACGTCTATTGGACATGTATATCTTTTTATCGTTTCTAGTGTTGTTTATCAGACTCGTTTACGGAATTAATATTCAAATCACGAGAACGATGACTGAATGAAATCTGACGTGATCTGGTAGACATATTTCTGGTATTCAATGAAACGACTTTTTATCAGCAGCCTTGAAAACAGGAAGTCGTCACATTGGTAAACATTGTCTACTACATATCACTTAAACAATCATATATATTTTTCTTCTCCTAAAATTCGAAGTGAAGTATTAAACTCGTTTTTTAACAGGAGAGATTGTGCAAGTATGAAAATCGTACTTTTACAGGAGAGATGATGTCAGTATTAAACTCGTACTTTTACAGGAGAGATGATGTCAGTATTAAACTCGTACTTTTACAGGAGAGATGATGTCAGTATTAAACTCGGACTTTTACAGGAGAGATGATGTCAGTATTAAACTCGTACTTTTACAGGAGAGATTATGTCTGTATTAAACTCGTACTTTTACAGGAGAGATGATGTCAGTATTAAACTCGTACTTTCACAGGAGAGATTATATCAGTATTAAACTCGTACTTTTACAGGAGAGATTATGTCAGTATTAAACTCGTACTTTTACAGGAGAGATGATGTCAGTATTAAACTCGTACTTTTACAGGAGAGATTGTGAAAGTATTAAACTCGGACTTTTACAGGAGAGATGATGTCAGTATTAAACTAGGACTTTTACAGGAGAGATGGTGTCAGTATTAAACTCGGACTTTTACAGGAGAGATGATGTCAGTATTAAACTAGGACTTTTACAGGAGAGATTGTGAAAGTATTAAACTCGTACTTTTAC